GCAATCAGTTCTGGAGATGAGGATGGAGGTAGAGGTTTAAGTGGTGGACTCCTGCAGGGGAGGCATACGAGGAAACCATAGAAGGTAAGGCTAGAAATTATGACTTCGTTAACATACTTCAGAGATCCCTGGTAGGAATGAAATTTGGCCATGCATTTAGGCTTGCCTCCTGGGGATAGATATCAATGAGGTAGATCTGATTTGAAGTAGCGGTGGTGGTGGGGGTGGCATTAGGAGGCAGGAAGGCTAGAGTGATGCTATAGCCCAGGACCATTGACATCACTCTGATCTCATTTCACTTGCTCTCTGGAGAAGAACTGAAGAGAAGGCCAGACTCTGGAGGAAGGTGAGTGATAAAAGTCAGAGCCCACTGAAGAAGGAGCGGGTATGGTGGGGGTGGGGGGCGGGGGACCCCGCACTGGAGTACCTGCACAGGGTCTGCACTAGTGTGCCCCTCTATAATTTTGGCAAAAGAAATGAAGATGTTAGATGCTTACAAAACAGCATGGGGAGAAGGGCATTTTTCTCCACTAACTTTCAACATGCACTCACACGGAAGGAATGTTTGACAGACACAGAACTGGAAATACTCAGAAAACACAAGAGGTTGGGGAGTGTGGGCATGAGGAAACAGGTTTGTTATAAATTTAATAAACGCTGGGAGTGACTGGATTTGGAAAAGTTAATTTAAAAGCAATACTACCCTGGAGCACTAAATCTGGTTTTATTTACTCAGGCCACTTCCTTCCATAAAATAAGAAATTTGTACACAATGGAAATCGAGCTTTTATTGTGTAAATGTAACAGAATGTTCAATCATGAATACATAACAGAAATAAAGTTCTATTTCTGTGTAGTGGGAGGGAATGACTTGGGTATTATTTCCCTAACTTCTCTCAGGGCCTTTGCACATGCTATCCCAATGTCTACCAATGCCTAGAACCTTCTCCTTGCTCATACCCAGAAGGAGGTCAGATTTTCTTGTTCTGCTCTAATGCAACTCTTGCATTTTCCCTTTACAGCACAATCACTGTTGGAAGTTGTGTTTTTGTGGGGTCATTTGATCAATGCTCCTTAGCTGATAACCCCTATGAAGGCAAGAACTGTGTTCTGACCATCAGTGTTCTAGGACCTAGTGCCTGACATCTGCCAGATGCTCAATAGATATTTTACAGATGACTGCCTGGAGGACTTTTTTTTTTTTTAATTAAATCTTTATTGTTCAGTGTGTTCTGATCAGTGTTCTAGGACCTAGTGCCTGACATCTGCCAGATGCTCAATAGATATTTTACAGATGACTGCCTGGAGGACTTTTTTTTTTTTGATTATTTATTCACTTGGTTCTTAGATTCACTTGTTGATAGATGCATGTTTGTTGTTCACAATTTGTATCTTTACCTTTTTCTTCTTCCTCTTCTTAAAGGATACCTTTCAGCATTTCGTATAATACTGGTTTAGTGGTGATGAACTCCTTTAGCTTTTCCTTATCTGTGAAGCTCTTTATCTGACCTTCAATTCTGAATGATAGCTTTGCTGGATAAAGTATTCTTGGTTGTAGGTTCTTGGTATTCAGCACTTTGAATATTTCTTGCCATTCCCTTCTGGCCTGCCAAGTTTCTGTTGAGAAATCAGCTGACAGTCGTATGGGTATTCCCTTGTAGGTAATTGAGTCTCTTTCTCTTGCTGCTTTTAAGATTCTCTCTTTGTCTTTTGCTCTTGGCATTTTAATTATGATGTGTCTTGGTGTGGTCCTCTTTGGATTCCTTTTGTTTGGGGTTCTCTGCGCTTCTTGGACCTGTAAGTCCATTTCTTTCACCAGGTGGGGGAAGTTTTCTGCCATTATTTCTTCAAATAGGTTTTCAATATCTTGCTGTCTCTCATCTTCTGGCACCCCTATTATTCTGATGTTGGTACGCTTGAAGCTGTCCCAGAGGCTCCTTACACTATCTTCGTATTTTCGGATTCTTTTTTCATTTTGCTTTTCCGGTTGGGTGTTTTTTGCTTCTTCGCATTTCAAATCTTTGGCTTGATTCTTGCGCTCCTCTGGTCTGCTATTGGGTGTAATATTCTTTATTTCAGAGCGTGTATGCTTAATTTCTAGTTTCTTTATCATAGCATCGAGGGTCTCATTAGTTTTCGTGAGGCTCTCCAAAAGTTTATTGCAAGCCCTCAAAATTGCGTTTTTTAGCTCTATATCCTCCATTTCTGTCATGTTTTTTTGTCTCCGCATTTTTTATGCTTTCTTGGTGCACCCCCTAGTGGTCTTTGTGCGCAGTCTTGTTCTAGTTGAGCCTTGATTGTTGTAGTTAATACTAGAGGGATTTGACCACCAGGCCGACTGGCTGTGTGAATCAGCTGTGTCTGCCGCGGAAAACTTCTGTCCTCTGGGGAGGTGCTAATCTAGCCTTTGCCTGAGGCGATCCGGCAAATGGCTCTGCGCAGGGCTTGGGCGGGGCGGGCTCAACAGGGCGGGCGGAGGGAGCCGTTATGGTGCCCTCAGTCCTGTTCCCAGAGGCTCTGCTTCTCAGAACCCCCGGAACCGCTGCAAACCTCGGAGGGAAAGCTGCCTTCCAACTGATGCCAGACACTCCCGCTTCTCCCGTTTGGGTCCGAGTCCCCAGCGATTCGCCCGTATCTGGAGCTCAGAGTCTGAGACTCCCCCCTGACCGAAAACGACAACCGCGCTCTCAGCCACCAGCCCGCTTTGCGCGCGCACCTCCGCACCTGAGTTTTTTCCACACTGCGCCTCCTCTGAGCCTCGGTGTGCTGTTATTTTTCCTTCTAGTTGAAGAGTCTCTCCTCAGCCAGCCTTCCTGTGGTTCTGGGTGATGTCCGTTCCGTCTTTTAGTTGTATTTTTGAAGTGGTTGTTTGCAGCAGCAGTCTCCAGTGTTTACCTATGCCGCCATCTTGGTCTCTCCTGGAGGACTTTTAACATGTTAAGATTGGCTTCCCAAGTAAGAGAAGGTGAAACAATATATAATTCTGGTAACCTCGGGCCTACATGAAAATCAGCAGTTATATTTCGGTAGAAAGGCTATGCCTTATTGAAGTTATATGTGAGAGGAAAAAATACCAATGTCATTGGTTGGTCAGTGATGTTACAAAGTTGCTCAGTGTGGTCAATAGAAGATAAGTGGAAGTCTGACATGTGGCTTCATTAAAAACACTTGGCATGTACTCCCTTCCTCCCTCCTTCCCTTCCTTCCTTCATCTTTTCCTTTGTGTGGTAAAAACACTTACCATGAGATCTACCCTCTTAACAGGTTAAGTGTACAAGACAGTATTGTTATCTATAGACACAAAACTGAACAGCAGATCTCTAGAACTTATTTTTGCAAAGCTGAAATTTTATGCATGTTGATTAGGAACTTCCCATTTTTCTCTCCCCTTCCCCTAAGCCCCTGACAACCATCATTCTATTCTTTGTTTCTATGGGTTTTGCTGTTCTAGATAACATATAAGTGGAATCATGCAGCACTTGCCCTTCTGTGACTGGCTTATGTCACTTAGCATAATGTCCTTAAGATTCACCCATTCCTTTTTTTTAAGGTTGAATAATATTCCACTGTGTGCCGAGCCGGCACGACCATGGGTGAACCTGAGGGTGGGGCGGTGAAGGACGGAGAAAAGACAGACAAGAGAAGAAAGCTGGGTCAAGGTGGGATGCTGCTCTCTGATGGAGAGACAGCGCCACAGCCTGCAAGCCGAGTCTTTATTTTATAGCCAGATTCCACAAGGCAAAGTAAGGGCATGGTCAAGATGTTTACAATGTTCTTTCGGGTTTCACATCTACTCAATTACATGCACCTGATCAAACTTTGTTTACTTGCTGCAACTCCCGCAGCCTATATTGCTCAGCCACATAGGACCACAGGTTCGAACCATAAGGTCAAGCTTACAATAGCCTTTGGCTATAATTGTGCTGGGACTTACACGTGGACTTACATGTGGCTTTGCCACGAGAGGATCGTGCCCTCTCATTAGTCCCAGGATTGAACCTGTCCAAACGCTGTAGCCGCTCTCCACACCACTGTATGTGTATGTCACAATTTCTCTATCCATTCATCCATTGACATTTAGGTTGCACCCACACCTGGCTATTGCGAATAGCCCTAAAGTGAACATGGGAGTGCTGCTCTCTCTTTGAGATGCTGATTTAAACTCTTTTGGATAAATATGCAGAAATGAGTTTGATGGATCATATAGTAATACAACTTAATAGCATAATAATAATAATAATAATAATAATAACCTACTTTAAAAATGGGCTAAAGACTTGAGTAGACATTTCTCCAAAGCAGATATGCTGGTACAAAAGCCCAACAAGCATATGACAAGACGCTTAACACCACTAATCATTAGGGAGATGCAAATCAAAACCACAATGAGCTATCACCTCACACCCATTAGGATGGCTATTACCAAGAAAACAAAAGACTACAAGTATTGTCCAGCATGTGGAGAAATTAGAACCCTGTACATGTGAGAATGCAAAATGGTGCAGCTGTTATGAAAAGTAGTATGGAGGTTCCTCAAAAACATTAAAAATAGAACTATCATATAGTCCTTCTTTTTCCTTGCTCCATAAAGCATGGACACAATTACCATCAGTTGAACCTAATTTCAACAAATACATGTGGGAATACTAAATTATTGGTAAATCACAAGCTTTCACTGTTTATTTAGAAAAGATAGGAACTTTGCTGTAGGTAACTAGAAATCGATCTGGTTCAAGTGGGGATTACCTGGAGTGTGATGTAGATATGAAATATACAGATAGGCCAGTGACTGGAGCTTACCTTTTGGGAACCATTGACCGGTGACTTCCAACTGATATCTTTCTTTTTCTCAAAGACTCACTGTTTATACAAATCATGAGCTATGGGAATCTTTGCCCATCCTGAGGTGTTTGGGGCTTGTCCAGTGATTTCTGCAAGAACTGCTGGAGTGACCTCTGGGTTATCATTCCTTGTTAAGTGCTCCAGCAGCTGCTCTTTCTTTCCTGGATCCGTCCTAAACAGAACATGATTCCTCCTTCTTTGTTCCCTCCAAGCACTTCTTAAACCACCCTTCCTAAAGGGGATAGTTGGAGAGTTGATGAAGAGCCATTTGTTCTGTTCACACTTATGATGCAAAGAAACAGTGAATCTATGAAATAACTGTGCTTTTAAAAATTCATTTTTACCCACAACACCTTGCTTTTACCCATTGAACTACAGCCACAGTGACAAAAAAATAAATAAATAAATAAAAATTCATTTTTAAAATTTTTTTATGCTTTCAACAATTTTTTAACGTTAGTAAAACATAAAACATAAAATTTGTCCCTGGCTGGGTTGGTTAGAGTGTCATTTGTATATTCCAAGATTGCAGGGTCTATTCCTGGTCAGGGCACATAGAAGAATCAACCAATGAATGCATAAATAAGTGAAACAATAAATCGATGTTTTGAAAGGGGGCAGAAATAGAATGTTGGGGAACCAGTTAGTATTGTAAGAAATATCAATCATGCTCTGTTAACCATGATTGTTTTATTCTGATTAAAGAAGGCACTTCTACCCTGGCAGGAGCTGACCTGGGGATGCAGCCCTTCCTCCACATCAGGGATTGAACCTGCAGCCTATTATCATGGAAAGATTAACAAAGATTTGTTACAGAAAGATCCCCAGTCAGTCCTCTGCTTACCTGATAATTGCCCATTTGTTCCACCCGTTGGCTATTTCCCCATGTAACCCCAGCCCTTGCATATCATTAAGCCCTTTGAAGATCCCCAGTTCTTTTGCATATCTGTAAACTGCCCTTTTGCTATATAAACAGCTGGTTTATGGTGGGCTGCAGAGTAGATTTTTGTGAATAACCTGCTGCTCTCCCATACTACCAGCAATATTGGAATAAACGCTCATATATGATTCAACCCTCTCTGCTTAATTGGCTTGAGTAGTGACAGTCAGCATGGATCCATTGTTTGTCTGGTTACATTTTCTCTCTCCTTCCCTTCCACTCTCTCTAAAAGGAAAAAAAAAAGTAAAAATAGCCCATAAAATTTGCCCTTTTCACATGTACAATTTTACGTAACATTTTACATGTACAATTCAGTGGCATTAATTATGTTGTGCAACCATTACATTATGTAGTACAACCATCACAATTTTTAAATTTATTTTTATCCTCACCAGAGGATATGTTTACTGATTTTAGAGAGAAAAGAAGAGAGAGACAGAGAGAGAGAGAGAGAGAGGTGAGAAACATTGATCTATTGCCTCCCGCACAGGCCCCAATCAAGGATTGAATCTGCAACCTAGGTATGGGCTTTAAAAGTGTGGACGAAAGGGGCCACACGCTGACCTGACAAGCTCAGGGAAGGCCTGCGTGGCAGCCTAGCAGACTCAGAGACCTAAAGTAACCACAAAGGATGGTCTGAAATTAAACTTTAACTAAAAGCAGTTATGGTGGCAGTATCTTCGACAAGATCAACTTTGATCCTTACTGAGCCCATTTGCCTTTTTGCCTCTAAGATAACATACCCTTGAAATGTCTGGGTAATAACTAACTTCCCTTTTTTCTGGAGCCCCTGGGGCACAACCAAATGTTCTGGGCGCCAGGACAGATACTACAAATTCCTTCATTATCATGTTAATTGATCCTGCACCCACCTAAGTATGTGTCCATCATTTTACTTTTTATCCTATCACAGAGGTTTCCC